TGTTGTTGATGCTGCATAAAGTTCAATGCGGAAGATTGTGCATTCTGGACACTTGCGCTACGGTCGCTATTGGTCGAGACATGAGGTTGAATGCTAGCGAAAGAATTTCCTGAAGTAGCATTCTGACAATAGAGAGAGAGAGAGAGAGAGAGAGAGAGAGAGAGAGATTGCGCAGCAGTGTGATATATGGGAGCATAATTTTTTGCTATTTCATATATTTAATTTAATTGCATAATAATTCGTTTTTCATTGGATATCGAAAAAAAAATAGCACAGATGTCTTGATATCACTGTGGGCACTTCCTTAATTAGCGCGGCAAAAATTAAAACAAAGCCAGTAAAACAGTAAAACAGTAAAACTCGTTGAACAGTAAAACTCGAAATGACTTTAAAATTGAGAAAAAAAATTCTAAATAAATAATATGCGCATTGATCTATTTATCTTAACCGTAAAACGATGATTTTCGGAGAATGATGAATTTCGCACCAAAAAATTTCGAATAAACTTGAACTGATCATAATTACCATTGCGACATATAAAAACTAACAGTAGAACAATTTTCAGCAAATTTTAAAATCCTGTTGAAAAATATAATAATCGCCGGCTAGCTAATAAGAAAACTGACCATAGGAACGTAGTCTCCGGTATCATCATAACTATCAGCTGAATAGGAATCATTCACACTGACATTTGTTCCGTTCACATTCGTTCCGTTTTGCGAGTTTTTCGTTACTTGAGTAATCAGTGACTGTGAAGTTGAGGTTGATGGAACCGGATGAAGTGCTCGTCGTTTCGCTAAAAAGTAGAAGTGTTGAATACAAAAGCATCTAAAAGAAAGTCATTCAATAACTATACGATAAATAGCATACTGAGAGCAGAAAATTCATTTCGTAACAACTAGTGCTGTTTTTCTTCTGCGGAAATACTGCAACAACTGTTAAAGCGTGAGTGATGAAAATAGGTCTAAACTGAATTTTTGAAGTTTTGGTGAAAAGTGATTCTATAGCTCATTTTAAATTCAATATTGTTATAGGTGTCAATAAAAAAGTGAGGAGAAACCTTTAATAGTAGCTCCGGGTCGTATACAACAGCAAAATGACTGCAGAAATTTAGGCATGTGCGGCTTACCACGTGATGACGCACTTTTCGATGATTTATTTCGGACATTTCTCGCTTCTAAAAATCTCGAAGAAATAAATGGATATTTGAGAGCATTTGAAATATAACAATGTGATACTTCATCAATTTATGTCAGAATGAAATCGAAGAACATTTAAAAAACAACGATGATTGATATTTTTAAAATGCTGCTTAATTCATTTATTTAAATCACTTAGCTTTAAAACGTTATTGGATTTCAAAATTGCTATAATAACCAAGTGAAATTATGAGCAACGCTCAGTGAAATGATCTGACACAACCAAATCTTTTCGTTTTACTGTGAAAAATTCTGCATTTAGTGATTTCCTCTACTGAAACTCTAGCAAATGTTCCCTAAAACATGAAAACATTACGAGCTAAAATGCGCAGAAATGGAACCGAAAGAAAGAATAGGTGGAAATATAACGCTAAATTCACGGTGTTAGAATAAATCCTTTAGCTGGACTACTGCTATTAACAACAAAAAAAATCCCAGTGGTGTCGCAATTCCAGAAAGCACAACATCGAGAGCTCATGGTCTTTAAAAAGACTTCGTATAAAAACTTATTTCCTTAAATTTCGGGAATTCCAATAACAGAATAATCCAATTGTAAGCAGTGAATCATAGCTGCTGTTTATATGCTGTTCATAAACTAAAATCTGCACAATCGCTTTCAATTCAAGACTAAATTCCCATGCAGCAGAACGTAACATGTGAAAAAAATTTTGAAGAACTGATAAAACCATTTCTTAAACTATCAAAAATTTTATACAATAATAATATTCGTTTGAAAAATGCAACATGAAAAATACAGTCAATTATTTAGATAATATCATTTAAATCAAATTCCTTTGAACAACGACAAAGATTTGTTATCCATGTGATTCGTTAGGAATATCTTTGAGACAAGATATATAATAAGACTGATCACCTACTATAATATCTAGTACTAATACCTCGTTGTCGGGTACTTATGTCTATTCTAGTGAAATAAACGACTCAATAGCAGTCTGAACACTTAAAACTTTCAAAAGCTGAGTTTGGATAGCGCTTAAAATAATATAGAAGCTACAAGCTTACAACACTATACAGAGGAAAAGTACCGAAGTCCAATGAAAGATAAATCACCTTTATTCTCAAATACTAACCAAATTAATAGTGCATCACGTCTACCGTTAGTACTTTCCATAGCACCTCTTTTTTATCGAGTGTTTCTAGTTGTAACTCTCTGTCATTAGCACCGGCACACTCTTTGACAGCGCTATGTCTCGGAAAAGATAATTTTCGAGAGAAAAATTCGTTTCCTAAATCAACTTTGCTGAATTTCTTACACTCCATCTGTAATACACGAGAAGTATTCATACCATTTTCAAATCGACGAAGTAAGCCGATCAGTAGCGTTTGGGGTTTCTCACCAGGACTAGCATCGGATGCAGAAGGCGATTTTGAATAATCAATCTGTTCGTTGGCTGACGATATACCAAAACTGGATGTAGACAGTGCTGTTTGTGTCATGGATGAAGAACCAAGAATAATTCTTGTTGAAGGCAAATTAATGGTATTGGAAAAAGCATAGGCTGGATTCCCATAACAGGTTTTTGGCCAAAACTGCGGTGTGGAAGTAACGGTTACTGGGAAGCGATTGGGTGCATAACCACATGGAACAATTTTCTGCAGTCGTTGTGAAGTTCCTCCATCTGCTCTGCTATGGTTTGTTTCAATCGAATCCGCGCTACTACCAGGTTCCACTCCAATATAACTACTTTTAATGACACTTTTGAGGACAGAAATATCATTTTTCGTCCATTCGATGTCATCGTGATTCCGGAAATAGGTTGCACCCACGTCGTTTTCAGTAGTGTGCAACGAATTCAAAATTTGACCGTCCTGATTCATAGACCTTGAGGTACCAGATACTTCAATATCTTTACAATTCCCTAAGGTACTGCTGCTTGAAAGAGTTGTTCTCTGTCGTATATTAAAACGGCGTAAGCCATGAACTGCTATCGAAGAATTCTCTTGTGACTGGCTGTTCAATTCATCGGATTTTTTCATTGAAAAGCAAGGCCCGTGAAATTTCTTTTAGAATAACAAATCTTTCCGATTTGTTATTCTAGAAAAAAAACTGGGAAAATATACGATTTGACGACAAAGGTTCGAAAATTTTTTCAGTTGTTCCTGGAAAAAAAATGGTTAAAGACAAAAAGCATAGTGGGATTTGCATCGAAATCATTCGCAGCACCGTGTAACTTTCTATTTCAATATTTAGCTTTGCATCTGAATTTCGAAATATAAAGTAATAATAAAGCATAACTGAAGTAAGGTTGTACTTCAGTATCTTATGGGACCTGTACAGGATTTGTCAAGATCTGTACGAACCATTGTGCGTTTCACCTCTGCAGAGATCACTTTGGAAATGAAATGTGCGATGATCTCACTATCATTATCAGCGCAATTACAACAGCCTTCAGAACTGAGACTGCCTTATAAGTAGCCTCAAGATATTCAGAGTTTGTGCTATAATATGTCTTTTTCATTTTCCAAATGAATTCATCTACTATACATTTAAAAATGAGACGCATCACATGAACCAAGTCAATTAATGACTTAAAGAAACTGTGCAACTATTATTATAATATTTAAAAAACAAATGCGGCAAGGACCAAGCAGAGAAAGCATGTTTCTACCAGCTACTGTAAATAATCAGCAATTGTAACAGATATCTAATTCCAACATATTGGCATAAAAATCATAAAACTTACGAACTATATTTTTTTCAAGTGTAGTTCGTATTCTTTTAATTTGCTGAACTTGGGAGAATCACTTATCTTCCTCACGCAAAAAAGCTGTCAATCATGAATTTCATTACGCAAGTTGATGAATAAAAGGAAAAAATTGAAGACAGATACAGAGTTGAATAGTAAAGCCCAGCAAAAAATTCTTTTCTTGGTTCTTCTTATTATTCAGTTGGAACTCGGCCGATTTAATATGTTTGAAAAGATGCGTCACTTCTTCCTACACATCCCATGATCATACTACAATCGAAAATCAAATGTAATTGACCAAAAACCGGATGCGTTGTATCGGAGAGATAAGCAAGAAAATTGGGATAATAGACGATTAGAAAGCAATGAAAGCATATTATGTCTGGAAAACAATTAAAGACGAAAAGGAATTTGCGTCAAAATCATTAGTAGTTTTTTTTCATATTATAATGCCAGTCTAGAACAACATTATTTTTTCTGATAAAATGTTCCAACTGAATAACAAGAAGAACCAAGAATCAGTTTTCAGTATTAATTTTTTCCTCAAAAGTATGTGTACAGTTTGTAAATTGAAATTCCTGAATATTTTGCTTAATTTATTAGCAGTACTGTTTTCGATTCTTAGGATACAATCCACAAAATCGCTCTAAAAATCGCAAATTGTATTGCAATTGATGAAATAAATCAACTATGTCATGAGCGATGACAGGAAAACAAAATTTTTGAAACTTAAAAGATATGCGAGCATTCATCTTCTCTGGCTATCAGAATTTGAAATCACATGAGATGAAACTGTAGGGACCGGAAATTTCGATCAAAATTTATCGTTACTGCATTTTCTTCTTGGATATAGAGTTTAGTAGTAATCAGAAATTTGTAATGGACCATTCTTGATAGTCTCAACCCCCTTCTACTGAACAAATTTAAAAACAGAGGATGAAGGGTACAGATATGAAGAAGAGGTGAAACGATTAGCACCAAAAAAAACATTCTAAATGTAACAAAAGTCAAGAAATGAAACTTACTGTCGGCAGGAATAGAAGAGAAAAAGATGAACAATTTGCGATATTCAATAAGCTAGAAAGTAGCAGAGGTTAGAAGGGGGAAGAGATAGAAGTTGAAGATAGATAAACGGATAATAATCATTGATTCTTTGAGGAGGAGTATAATATATTTCCACTTGCTTTACATTACAAGAGGTTACGAGTGGATTTTTCTGTCGCGATCATTTTCAACCTCTTCATAAACAGGGGTAGAAAACACATATGATTAATTAATAAAAGATCCTCCATTCTTGCATAAACTAAAAGTTGCTTGCACTAAGTTATACATCATTCCATAATATATCAATAGGAAGTAATGGAAACACAAAATGCATTCAAATACAAATAAAGAAAATTGAAATTAATGCATTGTCTTAGTTTATATGTTGCAGTTTTGCCGTTAATTTGCTTTAAAAATATGGCATTATCGGTGCTGTATAAAATAGCATAGTCATCCAACACAATGGAGAATGAGAATAACAATAATAAACAATAACAACAACAGCAATAATGGACATCTAAAATTATATGAAATGTGGGAACAGTTAATACTCTTACTACTAGAGAGTTGAAGAAAACACAGACAAGAGGTGAGGCGGAAAAGTCGTTATCATGGAATGGTGAAAAAAATGAAAAGGACGGGAAGTATAAGACGAATATGCTTCTTTCTCCTCTGATAGCTGTTGCTGTTGACAAAATTGTGACCTATACCTCATGTTCCGCACATGGTTGCTGCTTGCTATCTCTATCGGTGAAGAATGCATGCTGAGAAATGACGAGAAAGGAGAAAAAGACGGGCGATGATGACGAATGACAAGAGCAGCAGCACCAACAGCTCGATTCAGGCACTTCACTAGTTAGCATTAGTGATTGCTTGTCGGGTGTGCTTCATCAACTGTCTCTTCCTCTGCTACTTTTCTAAAGTTGTCGCTTTCGATGGGCGCTACTGCCCTCGCTCCCAACGACAGACTACATTCCTACACTTCGCTGTTGCTGCTGCTAAAAAATGTTGCCGATGATAGTTGTTAACATCGAAATCTTCAGAGTCGTTTTAATATGCATTGTAAACAGAATCACCACATGATGTGCAGTGCGCTATGATGTATACAATTAGCGATACAAGAGGACAAAATGCGTTGCGTCATTAGTGCTGATAATGTTTATACATATTCCTTTCACAAGTCCGCACCAGTGGAATCAAGGAACTTTCCTTCTAGTAGACTTCGTTGCACCTCGATCTTCAACATTCCTCAATTCATCTCTTACGTTCTCTGCCGCAGCTACGGTTACAAACACACACCACTGCCTGTTCATTTCCGCAAACCTTATATCATTTTTTTTTTCATTAGATAAAATAGTCATTCTGAAATACCACTGTATTGATAGATATGCTTTCAATTCGGGATTTCCTAAAAAACGAAAACAAACAAACAGAACATACGGAATAAAAATACGGATAAATAGGTGAATTTAGCTTTGTAAATGAAAGATGCAAGTTTTGGCCGGAATATTCTTAACATGAAGAAAATGAAACTCATAAAAACAACCCTAATAATTAAAGCAGGTATTACATAATCTCTCATTAATTAGGTATTATGTTCTTTTTGCTTCCCTATTCATCCACCTCTTACAGCAAACACATAAGTGTAGCAATCATAATTTTTCCTGGAAATGCTGAAACTTCACTTCAACTGCGATGAGATCGTAATTCAAACTGCGACGCCATATCATAAAAGAGATGCCAATGCAAACAACTTTTTCAGAAACTAAACGGATTGAAAATTATGATGACACAGTGATGCAAAAGAGGGATATCTTGCATAATTTTTTTGATGGGGTGATCGATATAGTGGCTTAACCTGGGGTAATGTTAAATGTTCATTTCTTGCTTCATATTAGTTAATGTCGGATAACTCCTTGTGTCATCCAAATCATATTTTTTATTTCCTTTTTGGAAGAATTCAACATTTTCCCTTACTCCTCCTTCATTGTTTAATTGACTAATAACCATTCTATTAGAGATTTCCAATTAATAAGTTTAATCCTACAAAAATTTTTTTTTTTTGTCAAATATGAAGACAGAGAGACAAAAAGTTCATGGAGACAGTACGAAAACAAAGTAAGCAGAGAATTCGATGAACCTGAAGTTTTCAATGAGTTATAAAATTTTCTCCAAGTTCAATAATTCCATATCATAATTGATGTCTGTTCGGTATCTATCATCCAAATTCATTTCCCGCTGTCAGGCTATCATTATAGGTATATTACTCTTCCTCTCCCTCTCTATTTTACTGCAACATCTCATCCATTGAATGTAAACACTTTTGCTGAAATTTGGTACTTCGTTCACCAAAACTAGTTAGTCGTTTGCTATAGCTGTTATTCCACAGTGAATCGAATGTTTGTTCAACTCTGACTGTAACTTCAAATACAAAAACAAAAAAAATTTGACTGCTTGTGGAAATCTTTTTTTGATGATGATAAAGACAACTGGAAATATATGAAACAGCAGAAAATTGTGTTCCCATATCGAATGCTTACATTAGGTAAAATGAAAATTTGAACTTTAATATACTGTACTTATAGTTTTCCATACTAAACCATGTTGGACAAGCCAGGATCATAAAATATAATGAATGAATTTCCAAAGCTAATTAAATCAGACATTCTTAAAAATGATATCTTTTCAGTAAAGCTAAATTGAAGGGAAAGCAAATGAATTTCAAAAGCAATTCTACAAAATCATAAGCGATAAATTAACATTCCAGCATTAATAAGAGAGAAAGCTTCCTCGTTGGCAAGAAAGCAAACAAGCAACCTGTTAATCAGCTAAGCCAAATATGCAATTTCTAAAAGGAAAATTACAATCAGCTGTGAAGAGATTTTCAAAAAAATTGCAGGATGAGTAATTCCGTAGTCTTGCACATAGTTGCACCTAAAAAAGATATGATTGAAAATCATGATTGATAAGACTCGAGTACTACAGTTACGATCATTAAAAATGCTGAGATAGTAATGAAGGAGAGGACTGTCACCAGAAGAACAAGATTTCCATCTAATTGAATGAATTTTTTTCTCTGCTTCCACCTTGATATAAACCTTCCCTCTCTTCCACTTCCTCCCTTCCTATTCTTCACAACTACCACATTATTCAACAGTTCGGCAGTATTGAACCTAATAGTATCATAATCCTCTCCAGAACTAAACATACAAATAAAACAATGGAAAGCACGAAATACTGTCATCTTAAAAATGAATCCATCCAATAAAATTGAATCGATCTTAAAAAATGAATAACGAATCTCTCTCCTCCTTTTTCTATTTAAAGGTATTTATGGATATGGATAAGAACTTAGTTAATATTCAAGTTTAATATTCAATCCAACAATCCAGAAAGTTCTGATTCAACGACTCCTGTCTTGGAAAGAACAAAGATACAGCTTTTTTAATAACCTTTTTTTTATAACCTTTTTTTACATTAATTAAGCCATTTTCCTGAAAAAAGATGGGAAAGTAGGATTTGGAGCCAGAAACATTATATTATTGAAAATAGGAAATGAAACCATTAATAACAATGTTATATCTTAAAAGGTTTAAAAGACTGGATAAAAAAGAAGGGAAATTACATAGTTGACCTTGTGATTTTTCACAATTCTCCGAAATACCGGGCAAACTGTGTAATGTTACATAACGTATCGTTTCATTTTGCTTTACATATGATTACACTCGAAAACAAGTCTCTCCTTCGCTCATTTTTTATCGGTATAATGAGTGTCAGCCATCGGAGGGGTTAACGCAATGGTTAAATGGTATAATTAATATAGCAGAAAATTTCCTTAACGGAAACGATGAAAATTCCATTCATACTTCCAAACAGATTATTCTATACAAATCAGATGGGTAATTATTCCCTTACAGAAACAAATATCATTAAACAATCGACCAATCAAATATTTAACTTTAAATATTCAATGACCAAACATTCTTTCCACTTTTCCATCTATTATAATCGCCTTCAATGTACATTATTCGATGTTTATCATCTCATCCTATAATTTCTCTTCGTCATGATTAGCATGGTGTCCTATAACGGATTAGGATGACAGGAAAGAATGAAAAACAATCATTAAACTAGAAAAAATTATTGAAATTTTCTAACAAAGTAGAGCAGGTCGTTCGTTGCTAAAATCCTCCGAAAAATGTTAAACTTTGAAACTAGCATTGGCTTTGATTCGATGCCAAAAAGATTGTATGGCAAACAAATATCTCTTTGCTACGCTCAATATATTTCATTTTTTCATTCGGCACTGTTACACGCAACATTCAAATGTTTCTCTAAACTTTCTTATCAGCTTACCTTTCTTACGTTACAATAATCTTAAAGGGCTTGAATACCATCGGAAGAGACCAAGTTTAGAGAGACAGAAAAAGACATTGCTAAATGTAAAATGATTATGCTGAGCATACAGTTCTATCTAAGAAATAAGAATTTCTGTTTCCGACCAACTAATATTTTATATTAGCCCATAATATTTATTGTATATATAGACTGCAGTACGGAAGCACGACATATGGAATAAAACAGCTGTTGTTTTTAGTTCGAAGGCCTGATTCCTGGACCACATTTTAAACAAATAAAACTTGATGAATTTTTGGTATTAAATGCTTAAAAAAGAACCTGCATAACCTTCACCTCGAAAAATTTTAATATTCTATGTAATTTTGGAACATTCACAAAAATTATTCATCAAATTTTACTGCTGACCTATCCTACTATTCACTTCGCAATGATAATTAACAGAATCCAAAACTCATGTTATAAGAATGAAAAATAATGCAGAAATTGGGAATTTCGGGGGTTTATTGCCCATTGTGTAAATAAGAAAAACTGTAATCAGCCGAACTCAAAAGATAACGTTATTGATAGAAATGAGAAGTGATCATTTATTTCGCCCTCCATTGAGAAGCATAATCATTTACGAACCAGTTGAGGTGGGGTTTGAGAGCGAGGTCATGGAACTAACATTACAGAACTTTCGCCCCCTATCTTACACGTCTTGCGTTATTTGTGCACTGTAGATTTAATCATCAGAACTTTGTTCATAAAAGTGGAATAAAAGTGGGAAAGAGAAGTAACGAGAAATCAAACCAAAATCATAAGAAACAATGAAGTGAATATAGTTTATAATATAAGGTGAGGAGATCGTACAGACGAGCAAAATAGAAATCTTGTTTTATAGACTCACGAGTGACACAAACAACTTTCGGGGATTTATCACCCATTGTGTAAAAAGATTTTCCATTTCCATCTTATCAACAACAGCAACTTTTGATGACGAAAATTAAAATGGGAGTTTCTAGAAAAATTATTTAAAAAATCTCAATAACAGCTCAGAAGCGATAAGAATAATCACAAATTATATAGAATTGTTGAAAGTAACAATTTCAACCATCATAATTCACTTTTGAAAAGACTTCACATAGTTCAGATTCATGGTTTTCGCTGACAGACATGAACAATCGCTTGATTTGTTCAGCACACTTGACAGTAATTCTTGCAATGGAAAGAAGAACGCTTATCTTCTCTTTATAGTGGAATGCTTTATATTTTTCAATTTCCATATTTCGAAAAACAAATAAAACTACAACTGAATAATAAGATCGAATAGTAAAAAGATGACGAATTTTTAAGTAATACGATTTTATAAATCGTCTGAATAAGACAAGTTCTTACTGAAATCACGAACTTTCCTTAGGGTTGCAACAAACTACAACGGATTTCTAGTCATTTCTAAAAATTTCATTAATAAAATGTATCTAATTTTTGCAGACAACATCTAAAAAGACTATATAAAAAATCCAAAGTTATTTAAAGGATTTAAAATGTTAATTCATAAAGATTCTATAGAGTTGGGAATTCTATTCTAAAAACGTTAACACTACTAGTGCTACTGATTCGTTCTAACTAAACTGCAATCTTCGCTCATGAAATCATTCAGCTGATTCGTCAATAAATCACTTGCTACTTGACAATCAATCAAATAGTAAGCTAGCTCCTCCTAAGAAAATCGAATTGTCGCCAACTGTTCAATTCAGAAGATCATATTTTCAAGATCATATACTTTATACCGACCATTTAATCAAAGAAATTAAATCGGCACAAATAATTCGTTTTCGATCAGGCTACTGGGTAAATTTAACAAGCAGAAAGTAAATTCTGGGAAGCAATTTGTGAAAAAATCGGTGAATTAATCCCAATTTAAGTTTCGACTTTTTAATCCCATCTTTTCATAATATTAAATATATCAATCCATTCGACTAATTTATCCACAATAATAAGAGTTTAGTAAAAGTCTCCATAAAATATTCATCTCTTTCAAGCTTTACAGCAAATGAAAAGTTATTCGCAAAAAACAGAAAATCCCATAACTGAAAGAATTTTAATATTTTCGGATAAGAAATAGCTGGTTTAATATAATTCGTGGAAATGTATTTGCATAATTTGAGAAACAAAAGATTTTTTGATTAGAACAAATGTATTTTATAGCAGAATGTTCTTAAAAATCTGGATAGTATGCACTGAAGGCACATACACTACACATTAAACTGGACAGTACTTTGGCTTGAAGACTAAATCATATATTTCCAAATGTTTCTGTAACTCAAATGTATTACTCGTGCATTTTCTGGTATTTTTCTACCTGTAGGTACTTATCATCTGTAATTCATAACAAGGTATGGCAACAGTTCTTAATTAACTGATAGTTTATTTCGCTATAAGCTTTCCTTGTTTATTGCTGAAAACTTCATCCGATCTAGTGTTGGTAAACGGAGGACGTAGATTTAAATGAAAAAATTCATATTCCACAATTTTCGCCTAAAAAACTCAGTGACAAAATTGAAGTTACATCTTCTTTAGCGGCAGCAGACAAAAGAATCGACACAATCTACCATCCATAAATTAAAGCTCATTTGAGTCTAAGTTATACTACTTTCTAAAAGGATATCTCATACTTAAAACTTCAATATGTAGAAATGAAATGGAAAGCCATGTGTAAAAAATTCGCAGGATAAAGAAATACAAACCAGATGAAACAATATCTCTGTAGTTATTGCCCTGAGATCTGTCGCTATTGGAATTCATTGATAGTCGTCTACACAGCTCGGTGCCAATTTTAAATTCTTCTGGAGCAAAACACTGACTTGCTACATCTATATCTTCTTTCTTGATCTAAACAGAATGTGAAAAAATGGATAAACAAATAGATGTGAAACCAGCATCAACTAGCAATTTCCAGACAACCATGTATGATAATAAATCAAAAAATACTCTGAATAATTTTGAAGAAATTAAAACAGTGTAGAATCCAGGCGTTTGCTTTTCAGAAAGAAAATGCGATTGAACACCAACAATGATAAGAATATAGTTGATATCATTATATGATATTATATGATATCATTATATGATATCAACTATATTCTTCGCAGAATGATGATTTGAAATGCTAAGCGAACTTTACATTTTACAACCAATACATATATATTAAAACTTGCACTCAAAATATTCACAGATGCTGGCACGGTAGTCATTACAGAAGCCATAAATAAAACTGGAACTGATATACGTCAGGCTGTGGGAAGCAAAAAATTTATGTTTTTCGTTTTTTTTTATTTGAAAGAATGTTGAAATAGTGAGAGTGGTTATCATGATAAAGCATAGCAAATTTTGGAGAGATTTTACTATTCTTTCGCATCTCCTCAACAGTGTTGAAAGAAAATAGCTTACTTGAGCAATTACACTGTCCACTGAATTTGTCATTAACGATTAGCAGATTTTGTACAGTACTAAAGAATCCAGAAAAATAAAATAGTGTTATGCGTTTCGAATTTTGCTGTTTTTCACCTCCGGCAAGCTGGTCCCCGATGTTTCTTGAAAATTAAAAGCATTATTTGACTCGAAAATCTAAAAAATTTTCCGCTTTATTTGACATTTTCGATATCACATTGCCATGATTAAAATAATCAGACATGGCCATGATTTGAATTTCATCGCTTTAGATCCTAGATCGGCATCGTGTTCATAATTCGTATTGAACTGTTTCAAATGCCTAAGGCCTACTATTCGATAGTTTCATTTCAGCTGTCATTTATCACCGAATTCCACGGAATATATCCCGAAGTACTTCGATATTGTCTAGCTTCATATTACGACGCATTACTCAGTGCTATTGTGAAACAGATTCTGGCCTTTCCATATCACCTATTTCTTACTAGTACAATGCTGTTCATCAAAAAAGCCAACAATAAGGCAACAAAATTTTAGAATTTTCAGAATAAAATGCTTCTAATATTTTATATCCGCACTTTTCTCTTTGCCAGTGAAATGATATCGAAGTTTGGTGATAGCAGTGGATACATGCACTGTAATCAGTATCAACAATTGCTGTTTGACAGATATTTCCTTAGTCCAAATCAATAAATTGAGCCCTTTCGTCGTTAATTTCTTGTTTCTGCTTCCTGTAAACACCGGTATTTTATTTGATTTTAATGAATTTCTGAAAGGCTAGAGACAAAATACGACTGGACGAATATAATGACCATCATACAAACTTCATAAATATTATATTTCTCGCAATATGACGAAAAGATAGACATTCCAGGCAAGCTGGAAGGTTAAATGGATGTTTTGACGTATGGCGCCATAAGTTCATAGAGAACAAAGGATCCTTAATGCGCATCATCAAATAAGCAAAAACCATAACTTGAGCCTTATATATTCTGACTACTGAAAATAAGCGCATGAAGTGTTTACATCCTTCAAAAAATTCAACCACAATCTCCTTTCAGTAATTAAAATTTTTTATACTCGCATGACTTAACAACAGCAGCTCACATACTCAAATTGTTAATAAATTAAAGGTAGTCTGTAGTACGAAGTCTTACTTTAACGTATAAAGTCTTATTTTAAAGAAAGTGAAGTAACAGATTTGTCTCTATATATTATTTATATTTATATGAATAATATATGGAGACAAATCTGTCTCTTTCTGAACAATATATGAAAAAATGCAAATGATTATTAAACATTTCTTTTTTCTTCCGTTTATCTAACGTTTTCAAAAGAAATAAAATTAGCAGTAAAAATGAAAACCCAATAGTTGGAATTTCTTGCACCGCAATTCTCAACACTGCCAATTAATTAATGCACATAATAGAACATTTAGTGTTAAACGAAAAGAAATGCATGGAGGCAAATCTTCTTGATATTGAAATTTAAGGGGAAGAAATGCATGGAAGCAAGTCTTTGAGATACGAAAAAATCGCAAAATATACATTTCTGGGGCAAAATTTGGCACAATTTTTCTTGATTAATGAACTTGAAATATCCCATTAATTAATGGTACAAAAATTACGATCCACCAACAAATGCGAAATATTCATATTCATGAAAAACTCAGCCATATTAACTTTCATAGCTTCTCACTCAAATATTTAAATCATATATCAAGTATAAGTTGAAAAATTTTGGAAATTGAAATTCATCTGAAAAGTACTTTCCAATACAGTTTTTTACAGCAATGACGCACGCGAACTGAATATCCGAAAAGATTATCTAAAAGCGTTTTGGAAGGATTTTATAGAAGCTGAATTATTTCATTAATTGGTATTTGCAATAATTACGTAGAAGAAGGCTAAGGATATGGAAAAAAGCAATTGAAAATCCGGAAAAAGCAAATAAACCTTTATGAAGGAATAACTGAAAAATTCGTTTGCTCGAATGTGAATGATCATTCCCTGAAAATGGACCGTCATAAAACCAAAGTGAAAAAAATATGTTCTGATACAAGACAATAATCGAGTAATTTGTAAAACGCTAAAATGATGAGATGGAGAAACTATCTAAGACATTTATGTATGCAAGCGATGAAATCAAAAAAATGATAAAAACGAACTTATAGAAAAATAAACGAACCCAATCAGAACATAATATATAAAACAAAGCGTAAACTATCTACTCTGATTCTGATAAAATACAACTCGGAATAAAAAGACTAAAGGGTATGTAGAGAAGAGAGAAGAAGAGATACACATACAGATTCACAAGATCCGTCCACTACGTTACGTGAGTTTTTTAAAAAAAATGAGAGATGTATTATCCATGGCTTGAAAAGAAATCAAAACTCTATTTCCGCATCCTTTGGGAAAAATGAAATGGAATAGTGATTCGTTTATGTGTTTTTCGCTAATTTGCCGCCTGTATCTTGCTCGTCAATTAAAAAATTATATTGCATCTCAAGGAAAAAAAAGGAAAATATACTTTTTACATACACTGAAAATACAAAAATACAAAATACACATACACTAAAAGTAAAAAAACGAATTTTGTTAATTAATCAGTGGCACAATTTACCTGTGTTCAGGTCACATTAGAAGTTTCACCAAATTTAAAATAGCTTTTTGATAATGACAGTTAAGAAATAGCTTTTATATGCTCAATAGCTAACATTTAAAATTTCGCAGTTAGATTACATATTTTGATTATCGGAAAAAAAACTTTTTTTTTAATGTATCAGTTTTTTTTAGCTTTCGCAAATTTAAAGTGAAGAAAAATATTTTTCGAATTTGTAAAAACAATTTTCAAATACTTGGGTTGAAGTCCCGATAATTGGTAATTGAAAAATGATTATTAGCCTGAAGCCTGAAACGACCAAACTGCAAAATATATTATGTAACGCATGATATGTACTATTTGTTGACTAAAATTCGGTCAATCTCCATTGTTTCCCACGTACACTTCCTTCTAAATCTATTAAAAATATATTTCTGTGAAGCAGTTTTAAATGATCATATTAAATGACATTAAAATGAAACAGGAGATTTTGGTTTAAATAGCACATCAAGGCATTTTTCATCAAACGGTTGTCAACAATATTAAGCTGATACATTGAAAAAAAAGTTTTTTTTTCCGATAATCAAAATATCTAATCTAACTGCGAAATTTTAAATGTTAGCTATTTGAGCATTTAATGCAAACCTGCTGCATTACAGAGCATAGCATAAATGAAATGTTTTCGTCTTATATATTATCCTATTTGCACTTCATCATTTTAAGGTTAAGGGGTCGTAAATAACACATGACAATCATTCTTCTCACATATGGCTTACCGCGGCCGGAACACATAAAATTTTATACATAACAAAGTAGTCCTCTATACTATCGAAACTAATCATATTGTAATTGGCTCACAGTTTCTAAATCAGAAATTGAAAGGTTGACTCTGCTATACATCAAAAAAGATTGAATCAACGCCTGCTAAACCACTACTCCAATCAAATTTTGTATGCCATTAATTACTGCCGATAGAAACAAATTTCCTTATATGATAGACGTAAAATAAACGAGGAAAAAGCAGAACAAGACTATCCACAGCAATGATCCAATAAATGGACATTTAACACTAATCAACATTTGCGCTTCCATTATCCTACAAACTAAGAAAACAATCCGTTATTGCAAACGATTCAAAAAAACAGTTATTCACGTACTAGTTATAAACTAACAAACTGTTGCGAAAGGGATTGGTTTGCACACCTTCGACACAATTCTGTTACCAATGTGTTGGACTGAATAAGCAAACAACTTTGGCTCTTTTATTAAGCAGGCAATTCTGATGATCATTATTAAGAAGCTATAAATTGAAGAACTACTGTGATGTGGAATATTCTAACAGTTCTTTGTGCAAGATTAAAAATGAAAATCGAGAGTCAGGAAAAGGCAATATATTGAAACTAAAGATTTAAAAAACATGTAAAATGTTTCTCTTCTAGTTGACAAAATTTGTTTTAGATGTTAAACATGCTAATTTTAGATATAAACATGCTACTGTATCAAAATCACCGTTATCAGCAGGAAACCCTGCCAAGCAATACGTAAGCATATTGAAGTAGTTCAACATGAACGTGATTCAGAAGTTCAAAAATATGCAGTTTAATCCGCAGAGTTGTTTTTGATATGCAGTTTAATCCGCAGAGGAAACCTTCCAAAAAATTAAGATATTTGAACTTGGACTTTTTTCATATAATGAACTTGAACGTTCCCAACACTATTTCCCTCCTCCTTCTCAGCCCCCATCCATGGCTTACAGATAAAGAAAATGAAGGCTCGTAAAAAGCATTTAAATTTTAAAAAGTTACAGCAGTACAATCAAATCCATAATTTTTCAGACGAGGTGAAAAAGGATGAAGATGGCTGGTTTGAAAGATGCTGCAAGTATGAATCATTATCTTTCGCTGGTTGGAATTCGTATATCAATAAACTTACTACAATCTTAAATGTGTTCAAGAAAATTGGAAAGATTGGAAACTTGAAAAAATGTATTGAAAAAGTTAATCTAATATATCATAAAATTCTTGATCATCTACAACATTCGTCAGTAACAAAGCATTGTCAAAGGTGGCACGATCGAAATTTTCTCTTGGTTCTGTTTTAACTGTGTTTTTCGAATGATTTGATCGAAATGAATATTAAACATACGCTGAGATCCGCTATTCTCACTCCCTTAATTTTTTTGAGTAAGTAAGTAACTCAAAACTTCAAGAAATAGAGGATTTTCTTTTTCTCCCTTTGGTTTTTTCTTAGATACTCATACTCTTCACAGTTAGGTAATCGTATTCGTCATAATTACCTAGTAAGTAAATCCAGTCTCGTTCAATAAAGATCTAAATCATTCAAATAGTACTAGAGCTTCCAGAAATCTTAAAGATAATCTGCGAGATACATAATCACCAATTCGCAAATTGTTCAAGAAATGTGATCCCCCGACACTTACGATCTTCTTTTTTTAGTAACTGTGTAACTTCAACCACACCATAGCTAAATGTTGACATAACTTTTAACGCTGTTAATATCTTCAGTGATTCCAAGAGAACTGTCGATCGGCGATTTCCATAAGAGTCACGCTGCATTTATCGATTCCTAATTTTCTTTCGCTTGTTCCACACATATCCACTTTTTCCCAGAAAGCCGAAATACTACGGACAGTGACACTTAGGAAATTTTGAGTTCGTGGACGAAAAAAGTTCCATGATCAAATTTTCTTGTTGGTATTGGTGGTTATCCTCATTCTTATTTTGATGAATGTATCAAAAAAATAGGAAACAGTTGAGCACAAGCCAGAAATGAAAAGAGGAAATGGGAATAGGGGAGGCGAAGATCTGCCCGAAAGCCTCGAAATTTTCAGTTTAAATAAACACATGAGAAGCACTGAGAGAAAACAAAATAGACACATTATTGTTAAAATTTAAGAATTTTTTTTAAGAATAAAACGCGTTTCAAGCCAGTGAGAGTATAAAAAATAATAACGGGGAAGAGTAAACAAATTCACGTAAATTAAGATAAAACTGAAGTTAATCTGAGGTGCACATACAAAGATTTTCAAGTACAACAACATTAAAGTGAGGCTTCGAATAAACACATACCTTAGAAAATAAAGGCCTTTCAAACTGGTATACGTTAAATATAAATAATTAAAACAGAGACGAGTGAAGAATTGATAGTTAACACATTTTAATTAATGACAGAATGAAAAACTGATGACTATCTAATATTTTCAGGAATAACAACAATAACAGCAACAAAAAAAGCAAATTTTGCAAAAAGTTCGAAAAACTTGCACTATACTATGGGCGTTCGGAGATCCATACATGCATGCAAGCTTGCTTGCATAACTTGTTCACTCGTACACGATCGAACGAAACAAAAAGCTCCTGTCGAGATAGACAGCTGCACGATAATCAAGCACGCACGCATTGCGCTCATATTGACACGCAAGCGCTCTGGTAGTCATTGTGCAAAAATCAATATCTCACACATGAAAATACTTGGCGATGAAATAGGCTAAGAAGTTTCATGAACTCCATTAAGAGTTGGATGAAATAGTTTTAAATTCCACAACTATTGATTTCTTGTAGTTATAACAAGAGACTCAATAGAATTAATGTGAAATTCAATTCAAGATTTAAAAGAGATTTTATAAAAGCATAAACTAGTAGAGATGTAAATTGTGTTGTTATATCTTGTAGATAAACTATTAGGAACAATTTAGCTGGAAATTTGGCATGTTTTAGAGAAAAAGGTAAGTAAAAGCATTAAATTCTGTTTTGCACAACTTTTATTCCTCGTTTTTTAGAAAAACAAATTTTAAAAACTTTCTATATTAATTAAATATCACATTTTTCGGTTTTTCAATGAAAAAAAAAGACAATACAGTGATAGGTTCTTCATTTGTTCATTTCTAAGTGTTAATTAATTAGTGATGCTAATTAATGACTGCGCACTGTGAAAATTTCATTAGCTGAAAGTAAAAAAAAATCAGGATTCAGATAGTAATCGAAATGAATACTCAAGAGTCTTCTCGGCAATAATACGTAACGTGACAGCCGTCTACAATATCTGTGATAAGTTTCAATATTGATTGAATACGTTTAGCATACTTCCTGATGTTAACAACTGCTAAAGCTGAAAAACTTCCCAATCAACTTATCAACAATGCAAACTGATTTTTGCTATCACATTAAATGCTCAGTCGCTACCTTTATAATTATTTAAATTTAGATTTGCAAATAAATTTCATCTGTTCCACTGAAATTTCATCTGTCAACACTTAATGCAATACCTTTTCGACTTGTTTAAAGCTTTTTATTCTTGCATTCCTTCATAATTTGATATTATCCGTTCAAATTGTCGCAATGATCAATGCCGCCCGGATTTCATGGATTAAAATTCGTCCAATACATTGATATAAGAGGGTCAGAATTACCCGTTGATCAACAAATACGGACAATAAATTACGTTCAAAAGTGATGAAGAAATTCTCATGATATCTTTTTATCAGATTGTAAAGTGATATTGAAGTGATATTGTTTACAAAAACTTTTCTTGTGGACTTTTGAAAGTTATTTTTGACTTTTGCGACTTTTTCGCAACAATCATAATTCAGATATTATTGGATATTGTGTGATATTTTAACCATAGAAGAATTCGTGAATAATTCGATTCATTTATAAATGTTAATCGATCACGATTTTTGGATCTTTTGAAAGAAACGCTGAAATATGGTACAGTCATTTTTTTGATAGTTAAAACAAATTTAAATAGCAAATCATTGTATGTAGTAGGTATTATAACAATTGTTGACAGTTGAAGATTGTTTTCTTCTAATTTTTGAATTTTATATTGAAATTAAATGAGTGTTGCATTATTGAATTAATTGAAATTATCACAAATGAATCGTTGCATGGTGAATCGATGTAACAAATATGCTCATTGATTTTGAAATGATAATAGAAAATTAAGACTATTTTTTCATAATTTCTTTAAATTCATTATATCTTTGCTTAAGAAATTTTCATTGAAGCATTATTGAGAAGTAAGGAAGTAAATTTTTTTGATGAATAAGAATTTCAAATCTTTTAAATAAATGGAATAGCACATAAAAGTTGTGAAATTCAATGATAACATGATCTTATTATACTGCACATGATCAAACTGAATGTAAGGTTTGCTTTTAATCTTAACCAATTAATTAATTCCAATCATATCTTCCATAATCAATTCATTTCACCATAATAATAATTTCAGTGCACTTATTGTGAAGACATTATAAATAGCTAATTTAGCTTAATTTTAATTTCATTAAATCCAATAGGAGTTTGAAAATTATTCATTAGAAGATTATGTGTTGTGGTAAATAATTCCTATCACTTTTGCCGGATTTCTTTTCAATCCAAACAAATTTTATTACTTTTGACAAAGAAAAAAATGAGTGAAAATTTTTTAATACAATTTCAATGGATCTTTTGTGGTCATTTTGAATAATAAACATTTAAACAGTCTTTTAAGTATTTATAATTTTCAGCATTTTAAGAAAAGAAAATGATCGTTTTTCTAGGAATCGATGAGATTAGATTTTTCTTTAAGTTAACAATTAATTTGAAATTATTAATTTCGAAGTTATCAAAAATATCAGTAAATGTTTTCTTGAGTAATTTTCTTTATACACTTGAAATAATTAGCAAATTAATTGGTGATAAATTGTAAAAAAAATATTTGATATTATGAGGCGGAAATAGCAGGCGAGATAATTTCATGACTTCGTAACTTTCTGTAGAATTGGATCAGTAGATCAGTGAGTACAAGCATACATGGAATGATAAGTAAACCATGAAAAACACATAGAAATATACATAGCAACATCGTTTTCACAAACACCTGAAATTAGCAAAATATTATATTTTAGATGATTTTTGAGGTTTAAATTTCGAAGCAGAAAAAGAAGTGCAAAATTCATTCCACCCACAAAATAAACCTTTCTTATAATCGCTAAAGTTCAAATCAAAGTCAAGCAAATCAGCAGAAAGATCGATATTTTGCTTTGAAAAAGCAATTATTAAAACTATCATCTCTCAGTGTTTTCTATTTCATTTTAAAAGTTCATTTTCATACTTCAGCAAAATCAAAATGATTCATTTGTCGCATTAAAATTCTAAAACTGAAATTTATGCTACAAAAGTGGTAAAACAGACCTGTGTCATGTAGAGCTCTCTAAAGAGAAGAACAAGCAGGCATAAACTTGTACTTATCGATGCTTGCAATGCTGGAAGCGCAACCGAAGCAAAACATATTCGTAATTTTTCCTTTACTGTTAATTGATGATTAGTTGTTGTTCCTGAAAAAAATGCACTGTCAATCAATATCTCGGTTAAAATTAAAATAATTTTGGAAAATTAATGAATTTTGCTTTCTCTCAGTTTTATTAATTCATTTATTTATAGTCTAAGCCTTTGCAAAATCTTCATTTAAGCATGATAAAAATATTTCATGCCTAAATATCAGTGTAAAAAGCTTTTACCGCCATTATTGTAATGATAAACTACATGAGCTGGTATATCAACACTGAAACCCATTGAAATTAACATTGCAGCCATCATGATCGGTTCCAAATTAAAACCCATTAGAGTCAATAATCCAACAATACCTTTAAAATGAAACTTTCCTATACTAATTTAACAATTGAATAAAACTTAATACTAAATGTTACATACATAATTTATATTAAATTAAGACAAAATATTATTCCGAATTTTTGAAAATCATATAAAAAGAAATTGAATTATAAATCCTATTAAATTTTAATTTATATTTAATTTGAAAGGTTCAATTCAAATAACAACAAACCAATCATAATAGAAATAACAGCAATCAACACAACAACCACTCTTAACAGATCATATAAAAAGATGAAAGAAATAAATGCCATGCAAACTAATATGCCAATCGCTGATTGCCATGCATCTCTTCCCATATTATCAATCAAATCGAGAAATATTGCATCGTCCATGAAAACGGTTACATTGAATTCTCTGAAAGGTAAAATTTCCTTTTTCATTAAACATCGAAAATTATTATGATAATATTCTAATATGATAAAATTTTACTACTGTCATCATTATTCTATTATCATATTATAAACATTATTATTATAAAGACAATCAATCATTGATCTAGGTTAATCAATACACAGTAGTATCAATAAATATCAAGAAATGTTATAAATTCATTAACTGGACAACGTTGACCAGAGATTGCTATTATTCCTTATAACTCGTATGGGAGACGGTAAGATTCAAATTTTGGATAATTACAGTAAGTTAGCATTTAGTGAACTAAATAAGTGTTTTACTACAAACCTGTATTTATCTATAATGTTCCGCCATTTATTTAACATAATACCTCTCTCTGGCCAATCCTTCAAATTTTCACCGTAATAAGCAGTTGTAAAGAAGAATTTTAGCAGGTGACCACTGAAAATAAGTTTTCAAACCAAGCGTTTTGTGCAATTTCACTTATTCGCCTTGACGTAAGCATGAAACGCGTTTTGTTGCTGAAGTTGAAGTATAATGAAGTACAAAGGAAAGTAGCATAATGAATGGGAAAAAATCATATTCGCAACCAACGTACGTAGTGAATTAACAAATTATGTAACGAAATGGTTAACAAATAATTTAAAATTTTTGAATATATAAAAATTTGGAGAAATTCAAGATTGAATTTGGAATTAATAAAGTAATTGCAAGTTGAACCTTAAAAAAAGAAAATCGATTTGGCAAAAATTAAAAGCGAAAGTTAAAAAGGATATAGAAATTACGTTTCGTCGAGAATCACAAAGCCATGCCATCTCTGATATTCAGGCCAGTCTAAAAATATCGGCAAATCATCCTCTTTGAATACAACCGAAGTATTTACTGAATCTGAAATTTTATGCATAAATGAATAAAATTTGAAATTCACTTTAACAAAATGCTAAAAATGAGAAGAATAAAACTAATGAAAGAAATTTCATTCAAAATTCATTTAAATGATAATTGCTCTATGGGAAAGTAATTCACGTACAGCATGAATATTTGCACACATACATGCATACATACATGCACGAAAGCATGCAGGATTGCATTTCGTTTGCTGTTGCAGGAAAGAACTAATCCTCTCTTTCTCCAGTATATGACAATTGCACCTCATTAATTACAAATAATTGAACAAACCATAATCCTCATCTGCTTCAGTCAATAGTTTTTCGTAATCAGTGAAATCACGAATGAAATAATTGGTACTCTCTGAGCCCCAAGAACCATTTATAAATTCCAATTCAGAAACCATTTGATTAAGACGTTGTAAACGATCCGTGTCCGATAGATTTCCAGGATTGTTGACATAAAACAATGCCATGGTATGTTCAGGAATTTGGTACCATTCTAATAGATCGTTCAACTGAATCAAAAAAAAAGTATTAAGTTTTTCGAACTAATGCAATTATTTGGTATTTTATTTCGATAAAACAAGGATAAAAATCTCCACCTTAAATATATTTGATGTAAGCATATTTTTTCAAATATAATTGATTATTGATTATTTGATAATTCATAGTGAAGTTAATTCATACATTACTTGTAAGTAATAGAACTGAAATTGATTATTTTATAATTAATAAATTTATAGTTTACTTTTTAAAAATTTTGAGATAAAAAAAAGAAACCTCAATAAGTGGTGAATCCAATGGGAATAATTTTTCCGATTTTAATTCAATTTTTGTTTTACTTATTCCCTAAAAAAAAGAAATGAAAATTAATTAAATAAATATTTTATCACATTATCATATGATAGAAGTTCATTTAAATTTAGCTAATAGAAAAGGCAAATAAAATAATACAAAATGATCTTTTCAATGAATCAAATACTTATAACATACATAAAGTGATACTATAACCAGAATGACCCACAAACAGAATACACCAATTGCGAAAATTTCATTTGTCACCAATGTAACGTAGCCTTCAAGTATTGAAGCACAAATATTCTTTGTATATTCACGAAAGGTATATGAGTTCTAAAAAAAATGTTTAATTAATATAAAATCCTACGGATAATTTTTTTTTGATTCTATTTTCTTTTTTTTTTTAAACAAGTAATTAGACAGGTTAAGAGATATACAAAGGATGCTAAAGAGGAAAGCTCTACCAGGTAAAATATATTATAATTAATTTCTACTCAACTTCTCTGACCTTACGACCTTTACCTTCACTCCTATTTCCTTATTTCACATTCAATGGTTGGAATCGATAGCGAGAAAAATTTCACCTTTTTGCAATAATTTATTATTGTGCCTTTTTTCTCGTTGTCAATTTTGATTGAATGAGTATTTTGTTGTTCGGCTGCTGCTTTCATTTCAAAATGTCCCACAATACACATTATTGCCGAATAAAAGGTTAACTAAAAAGGTTAAAGATTATCTGCATTGCAATAAGTAATGAAGTTATGTATCAAATATGTTAAGTGCTATTAAACAAGTAGTCTTGCTCCGCTAAATTTCCAAACAAAGTGTGCTTGCAATTAATAATATCGAGTTAGGTATCATCGAAAGTTCCAATCTATCCTTTATCACAAATAATTGTTTTCATTCGCTTTTTTATCAGCAAAGAAAATATAGCACTTTAAGAATAAGATGTGGCTTGAAATTAAAAATATAATGAACAAGCAAACGATCAGCTTTCATTAATGCAAACAAAAAGAAGCTGCAAAAAGAGAAATGAAACCGGAAATGCTATTAATTTATTTCAAATTTTGAAAGCTTTTAAGTATGCGTAAAATGAAATTTAAATATAACAAACTTTATGATAAGTCACAATGAATTAATAGACTAGCCTGATAAATATAATCTATAAAAATGGATAACATGTTGCCAAAACATAATATTGTAATGGATGGTGAACCAGTAAAAGAGCCAATTGCATCAGCCAAAATGTTCGTTAAGGCCGATATTAGAATTGCTGGTCCAGTCTCTTCTAATACCTAAAAATAATTAATGTCTTAAAGAAGCTATGATACTATTGAAAACAATAGTTATGTGGATAAGTAAAGCAGCTATGATACTATTGATAGTACTTTTCCATTTAATTGATCAGTACAACTAATTCCCGTCCCTTCCTCCCCCTCACCCTCCCCTTCCTCGCCTTTTCCCCCGTCTTAATCGTTTCATTGACCAAAAGAGCTAAGAAGTCTATTATTGTTTATGAAAATTTATGTAAAAACTGCTGATCACCTGTGAAAGACGATATGGTACGCAATCATCTTTGACAGGATGTAAATTACATTCTCTTGTGACACGTTGCCATGCGTGTATCATCAAGTAGGCATCATCAACACCTGTAAAATAAACCTTGAATAAGATGATATTAGTAAATGTACTTAAATTTTTGGATTTGAGAAGTTTCATGAATAAATTAAAGAGAATTATGTAAAATGATGTGATTTATGAAAGAGGTTATGTCGGATTAAGATACTTTATTATTTAAGGATTTTAGAATTTACCAATGGCAAGAGTAAGAAGTGGTGTTATTGATAAGATGGCATCATACTGTATTCCAATAACGATTAACAATAATCCGATGGCTGTTGCATTGGCCATTAATGGACAAATACAAGCAAAAAGAGCCAAGTAAATCTAAAAAATTAAATTCGTAATAAATATATTTTTGAATATTATATGAAAATTTCTCATTTTATCTTTTTAATTTAAAAAGTCATAATCATTTTCTCAATGAAACTGTTCAATTAAAATTGCGTAAAAGTCCTATCAATATTTTTTATTATCCAATTATGATAAAATTTTATTCGTGACTGATAAATCGATAAGAGCTGATAAGGATTTTCAGAAATTTCCTTTTATTGTCAAACCTTATAAATGCTCATTTGTTGCATATATATAGCACTGATCGTTGTCAATATTGCCAAGCAAATGAACATAACACCAAAACCAACAGTTAAATATGGTAATACACTTAAACTGGCACGAGACATCTCATAATGAATATATTCAAACGATGCCGCCAGCACACGAATGTATTTTGGCTTGTAATTGCTGAAACTTTCAAAAAGTCATTCCTTTCTATCAATTTTAAATTTTGTTTCCTTTTAATCTTTTAGTATTACAACAGTAATTTCAATAATTCTCACAATCATTGAAATTTATCTTTTTCATTCATCCAATTTTTGTACATATTAAAATTGAGAACCAAATGATTAGAGTGGAAAGAATATATTTACAGTTGAGAATGATTTCCCACTTAATAAACTTTCATCCGCAACTTTGTAAAGCGTGCATAACGTACATAAAGCATATATGCTAATTTGTCATTGATATATGGCATGTATGCCAATTTAGTATGAAAGATGTGCAAGCCAATTTCAAATTTATATAAGTCACTTCGATAGAAATTTACTTTTACATTGTTATCAATGTATAAATTTAACATTTCCACATTTCTTTTTTACTTTGAGGAAAAAAAACAACTTGCGATATATCTCATATATTAATTAATAAAAGGCTTTCCACGTTTTTCGATGATACGAATAGTATGTCGAATAGATGAAATTATTTGTAATGCAAATATTTTAGTTGAAAAGTTTTGGTAATTGTCATATATATATATATATATATATATATATTTAATTTAACTTATATATATATAAGTTAAATTAAAGAGAAGAATAAACATAGCTTAGCAATAGCTTATTCGAACTATTTGTAACAACGATTATAGGAATAGATATTATTGTCCTTATACTAGTGATGAAAATGATTAGAGGAATAAAACTTACTGTTGAAAGTAATGAACAATGCTTAATTCGTACTGTTGCGTTTGTTTAACAGTCCAGTCACCTATTCGTTCTCCACGATATATAAGTCTTATCATTTTTGCCGACACCATGTTTGTAATAAATGGAGCATAATTGATGATTTCTGTAGTTGAATTATTCATCAAATTATCAATCGCAAATGTATTATTTCTCAATTCTATTCCATTGAAATTCATCTAAAATTGATAATGAAATGAAAATGATCAAAAATGTTTTATTTTCAACATTTAAAACTTATCAGAAATGTCCGGCTATTCATTGATAATACCTGAAGTCCTAAAGAAGTTAATGATTAAATTCATTTTGATGAATGAATCAAATGATCAGATTTTCGAATTATCCAGTTTTTAGCGATCAACAATTAATATGCTTCTTCGTGATTTATTTAAAAATTTTCAATATATATTTTTGCATACCTCAACATTATCTAGCAATTGTCACTTCTGCACTGCAATCAAATATTTAATTCAGAATTATTTCAACTCAATAATACTATTCAAATATATGCAGTACCTGTATGTTGAAAGGTATACTGTACATTGTGGAAACAGGATAAGCCAAAGATATTCGATCATTTAATGGCTGATGATCTCGAAACAGTTCCAATTGCGCTTCAAAACCGTTCTGTAAATTATTTTTCAATAATTTTATCTAAGCAACAAATTTTACTTATTTATTTATGAACTTTTCAATGTTATGCATCTCAAATATAATTTGGAGAAGTTTATTTTAACCCTTAGGTTTTTTTTAACCTTTGTAACGCTTTTATAGCACTGAATTTTTAACCTTTATGGTACCGAATTTTATTCTTTATAGTATTTTAAATCATTATTTTGATTAATTTCACTAAGATTTGCTATTTTTCAAAATTTAATTTGACAGCTTGGCTAAAAAAAGTCAGGTAAAAATTATACGATCGCATCACTTAGCTTTTTTGAAGAACTCAGTCGTGTAGTAGCAGCAAATTTGAATAAAAGCAATTAAATGAAATTTTGTGAAGCAGAATTTTACACTCGTGTATTAAAGGACTTCAAATTTAATGTATAGGTTAAATGATAATATTTAAAAATATGAAAGCAAATAATTTCTAATTTGAAGCTGTTCGTTCATTACTGGTTTGATTATTTATGAATATGTGCCTTGGCAGAATGTAAATGCGATTTGATTTTCGAGCAGTAATTTCCACAAAATTTAAAAGAAAAAAATTACACGAAATTGTTGCATTGGAAGATTGAGCCAACAGAAACTGCGACAAAATTCATTAAAAGATTCTTCTCTATTAAGAATATGATTGTATATTGTAAAATTATTCGAAATCAATTCATCTACCTGAAAAATGGTTAATTGAGAAATGTCACTCTTCTAATGGTAATATGAAAATAAAATTTTAAAAGATTTGTTGAAAACAATAAAGAAGATTTAACAGATGGATGAAGTTGAAAAGTTTATGAAAATGGTTCCCGAATATTTAAAATTTTATCATACATAATTTAATTTACTCTTTGACTGAACTTTGTTCTTACTTCAGCAGCTTCTTTCAACATTTCCGTTCTTAAAATTGAACCACCATCTTTTGCAACGATGAGAGTCATCAAAAGAATTCCTTTACCACTATGATTGGTAAACTCCTCGTGTACCGCGTGTTCTTTACGCGATCGCACTCCGTATGGTACAAAACCCATTAGATCATTTTTAAAACTGCAATTTCGAGGAATGATTCTTTCAAAAATTTATTTTTGCAGTTTTAATGAATTGAAATGAGTTGGCAATGGCAAATAATGAGTGGAAAGTATTTACTTTGTTTTAATTGAAATAATTTAAGACACTCACATTCAAAAATGTATAACATCCCGTCGTTTGATTTACCATCATGGGAGAACAGAACAGAAATGGACTGAATTAAATTTAACTCAAAATTTAAAAGTAATTACCAAATAGTTTAAAATTAAAAGCTTTTTTTCATAGCTAAAATTAACAAAGTATAAGAAACTAACGGTGTAGTGATAACTTTGGCGGTACATAGGATAGATATTAAAACGGAAATAACAATTGCACCAGTGATATGATCGGCTATAAAATAGGACCAGCGCCTATGTAGAAGATTGACATATTGAACAAGGCGCGTTTGACTTCCCGGTTTAATTGGTAATGACGAAAAGGGGGAAAAATGCATCGATATTAATTAATAAAGCGAAGCAGATGCTGGTCTATCTCCAATATGGAACGGAAGGAAACCGGATCAAGTAATCTGATCCTTCTTTCAAAATTTTGTTTGATCTGGAATAAAAAAATAACTTCCTTTCTTCGTATGTCAGTGAAGAAAAATAACGGAAAAAATGGAATTTACGGTTGTAATAGATAAGTAATCATTTTATCTGTTAGTTGCCCACAAAGATATCAATTTTCTATTGATATGATAAAATAAAGACAAAGAAACAATTATATGTAAAAGAGAGAAAGAGAAATATTAATTACAATATTCAAATCACAAAAATCTCAATCATAAAATGATTGCATAGTCATATTTGTTTCAAAGATGTTTTCGAGTGAGTGAGGAAATAATCTCATCTTTTACCATCAAAAACTTTTAATTATGCTAATTACATTAACCATTTATTACACTTAGAACTATTATGTATGCCACAAATAATTTATAAGAAATATGCAAATGGAATGAAATATAAAATTTAAATAATCTTTTTTATTTAAAAAGAAAGTATAATTAATTGTAAGATGTTTAGATAACATAGAGGATGAATAAATATATTGTGGGGTGATTATGCTACCACCAGAATGGTTAAGAATAATTAGAAGATCGATTAATTGAAACGTTATATTAGCTGGAATTAAAATCTTCTTCAATAACATTATTTAACGAATAGATATAATAAAATTATGTAAGCATTTCAATTGTCTTCAAGTTTTCGTACTTTGAAAATTAGTTCAAAAGGAATGAACTTGCTCTCCTAATTTATCGTATAATTACAGGAGTATTATTATAAAATAGGTCTGTCTCATTGTCGTATCACTCGTATCACTCATATTACAATAAATTGCTTTAGCAAAAAATCAAAGAAAAATGAATAATTTCGGGAATTAATTCTAACAACTGATAATTGTCCTTTCACATCCATTTTTTCGGTTTTCTCTCACTCTTCCCATTTCCACAAACTTTTGAATAGACAAAAAGAAGAAAGAAAAGGAAAATGAAGTATTAACTAATAGATAATGTTCTATTACAGATCACCTGGAATATGTTTCGTTTTCGCAACATTTTACTACAGATCACTTGAAATACAATAACAATCTTAAATATGAAACTTATTTAAGCATTAAAAAAATGAAGAAATAGAATGAAATCGAATTTTAACGCAACAATATTACTTTCATAACGTTTTAATTCATAACAACTGATTATAGTTCGTTGATGAACAGGTAATTTCCTCAATATTTGTTACCATTAAGCTTTTATAATCAATGAAATAAAGATTTTACTCGCTCATTTCAACGGCTGATCATTACCGTTCAAGGCCACTTTCTGATCACTCGCAGATATCCTTTCTTCGTTTCACTCGGATAACCTTCTACTACAGATCACGTAGAATATAATATCAATCTCGCAATCAGTCGGTTACGTGGGAGTAATTTGGAAGAATATATGTTTGGTAATGTTAAATATTATATGTTAAATTACTACTGATTTTGTTAATATTGGAAAATAATTCTTTTTTTTTTTATTCAGTACTAAAATAACAAAATACAGAGTAAGTTTCGAAAAATGTGGAAGATAAAAGTGATTGGAGATTTTCATTAAGATTAGCGTTCTCTAAACTGACCATACATAATCAGTTTAGAAATGTGCTGTAAGAAATCCAGCGAATACATTATTTCAACAATAGAAATATCTCATTTGCAATTCTGCATTTCTCGGAAACGTTGAATATGAAATTCTCAAAACGGATCTCCGACGATAAGTTTGTTTCATGCATATTTGTTAAATGATTCCTTTCTCTTCTTATGGCGTAATCTCATTCTTATTCTGTCGCAAAATATAAAAGTGATAAAGATACCGTCATCAATTAAATATTCTATATTCTTACCAACTTCTATCTTTATATTCATAACTATGTTCTATCGTTTGCAATACTTGTAAAATTAATTGTAAGTAACTTATGTGTGCGATGTTTCATTTTCAAACAGTTTTTATCGTTAGTGATCAGGGATCAGTAGAACTAATAGGGTCATTGGAAGTTCGATTCATTCCATTGCTTCTATTAAATTTTCGAATTTAATTACCTTGGTTATATTTTTAAGTGAAAGAGTGAGACAATTTGAATTCATCAAATAAAAACTAACAACTTTAAACTCCACTGAAACACAAAAAAATGATTGTTATTTATGATTGATTCATCGTCTAGGAATATTCTTGTTACACTCTAATCATTAGAATTTCAAAATTTAATTGCCTTTCTCAATTATCAACAGTTATTAACAAATGGAAATTATGTTTGAAAGAATTTGACGAATCGTTTTATTGGCCGTTTTATTGATATTTTCTACATTACTATTTAGATATTTAAAAGAAATCTTGATGGCGTAGAAATATGATGAAAGTTTCTCAATGAAAATTAATCAATTATGAAAAACAGCGACAGTTTACATTCTCGGTATTCTCGGAACATTTCGAGAGAATATACCAGCAGCTGAAAAATGTGAGTTCAATTACGGAACGTTTACAAATATAAAATAAAACTGGAGAAAATTTTTTGTAAATATATTCAGTGATAGACACGATAAAAAGGAAAAAAGTCTCTTTGTAAATTACACAATGCCATGAAATTATTTTGAAAGAGAAGAAGGACAAATTTAATCATCAAGAAAATGATAATTTATTAATCAATCGTAGAAATTGAATGGATGCTTTTGAATTAATGAATCTGTAAGGTAAAACAATTGGACTGGAAAATATCTGAGATAAAATAATGACATCAAAAAGAGAAGACATGCCATGCTATCATAATTAAACAATCCTATAAAAATTTTTAATGTTTATTATTTCTATATTTCTGCTAAAATAATAATTTATTATAAATATTTGCGAATATAATTTAGTCTGTTATAGAGATAAATGTAATAATTCGCTATCTCAAAGATATTCTAATAATAAGGAAATTAATCAAATTCGATTTTTTATACAATACCGTAATGTTGTTTCTTTTTCATTTTGAAAAAGAGACAATATTACGGTACGGTGTGATAAAAATGAAATGATAACAATGACGAACGGATCAGCAAATAAAAAGATAGCGAACAGATTATAGTGGTAGTTCTTGTATTTTTCATCAAAACTTAAGCAATGTGATAAAACGATACGAAACGTTACTGTAATATTTGAACTTCTGAATTTAACCAAAAGTATTTGCCACTACAAGGAGAATTCAATTAAAAACTTTGATTCAAAAGAAATGTTGAATAAGAATTGAATTTAACTAACAGGTACAATTTATAGGTATATCATTTGTTATTCAACGTTTAAAAAATGCTGTGATTTTTAGAAACAAACATTTTGGACAGATTTTCACCAGTCAGTTTTGTTAAGAACAAAAAAGGGAAAAAATGCAGAAATCAAAAGTACTGTATTTCATAAAGTTTTTAAATGTAACAATACTTCTTCTAAAGTAATATTTATCAGACAAATGAAATGGAAACAAATTAATGAAATAGAGCTGTCAATTTTGAAATTATCATTTTTGTAATGAATTCCAATTTTACAGTATCATCAACATTTTTTAATTTTGAAGTAATATTCTCTTTCGGTTTTAATTATAAATGAAAAATGCAATTAGTGGAGATCATTAGTGTGAAATATTTGACAAAATTGATAAATTATTCTTTGTAATTGATTATGACCAAAAGATTAATACAGCAATAATTACAAATATATCACATAATTATATTTCAATGAACAATAGAAGAAAAACAATCATCAATAAGTATTACAAAAAGTTGGATTGTGAGAGGGATAGTCTTAGAATATTCCAAAACAGCCCGTTAGATAGTTTGTGGATTCTAATCACTATCATTGGCCATTATCACTGATTTTATTAAATGAAATTTTAATGAAACTACTAATTATTATTGGAGTCAATAGTTCCTTCACATAAAATTCATTTTTTTATCAGTAAAATTGAAAAAATTATGGATGGTTGAATAAATTGTAATATCTTTGTTTGTCTTATCAGTGGTTAGTGCAAGACATTTCAGCAACAGTGATAAAATTGAGTTCTTTCTTAGTTTTTAAAAAGAAATCGAAAAAATCTTCCATACATTTTTTAGGAAGAATATTTGAAGTACAAATCGTAACTGTAGATAGAAAACATTGATAATTAAATGGAACGAAATTCGTAGTATTTTAAATTTCTTTTGCTGATGACGTATATTGAATTACAAAATGATGATTGGTGATACTGTATCGTAGTAGTATAGCATTCAGGATAGTTGATAATGAAATGAAGGAAACGAATATATTTCACACTTTCAAAATTAGCAATTTATACATTTAATTGTTTATGCTTATAACATCGGAGATTTTGAAGTGAACCCATCGGGCGGGCTGACAGGAAGAAGGAAGAAATATCGCATGATTTCACAATCTCATTCATTTCAATGGAAACGGAAAAGGATATTGAGGTGGCATAAAAATGGAAAGGTCCACTTTTACTCTGTCTTTTATTCTGTTTCTTTCAATAATCTTACATTTAAATAAAAAAGAATAAAAATGTCATAGTTTTGGATCGAAGTCAAAAAAAGCGAAAAAGAGTAGGAAAAATAGCTGAAATTCTTCAATATTCTAACAATTAATGACACCTTCATTTCATAACTGCATTGAAACATTGAACTCAATGATGAAAACTATGAGTAAGAGGAGCCTAGAACAATCCAGTATTGAAATCATAATTGAAAATAAATTATCGGATTGAATTCCAGATAAGGTTTAAGGTTTGTCAGCAAAAGGAAGAACAAGAATTATGATCAGGCACTAAATTAAGGCTATTAGTAGGAAAATTGGTTCAATGAAATGAAAAAATAATAAGAAGTTAATCCTTCAGTATTGGGAAATAACAGAAAATAATTAAGAATAAACTGAAATCATATTTAGGACACGTCGAAGAA